TCTTCGTGACTGCTGCTTAAATCACTATAGTCTCATTGTGTTGTTTGTGCGGATAAAATAAACTATGGTGAGAGTGATGAGAGTGATGCGGCAGCAATATGGATGGATGTAAACGCGGTTCGGCAATGATCCTTGTCAGGAAAATCACCCAGTTTTCTGGCAAGACGTATCAGACTATCATTTGTGGCAAGGAGTTCAGTCCAACCTACCGGCTGTACGGGATCCTACAGAAAAAACTGATGTTACCAGAGACCATCCAATTATCATTTTATGGCGCATAACACTACTGACTTGGAGATCTTATCACTGAGTGCTATGAACGCTGCAATGTGGATTTGTGGACCGACCCATCCCAAAATTCGCGTCACTTATTTATACCTACATAAGATCGATGCTGTGGTGCGTCGCCTGCGCTACTCATCTATACCGTGAGTGCGATCGACAAGCTAGGAAAAGTGCAGTCACTCTTCCACAGTTTCCAGGAATGTCACTGACATTCACACAAGTGTGTGTGAGGCCCTTCAAATCGAGTAGCCTCAATTGCGCTCGGAAGCTACCTCTCGCCATTTGAGGGTGGTTTTTTTTATCCCAGAGGGAGTGTGATCACGTTCCTTTATCAGCGTTTTTATAACTCAGAAAAATTGGACACCGGCGGCTGTTAGGAAAGCATGCTGGTGCGATGCTCACGAACTTTATAAAAGCGTCTGATCGATTTAAACATGAAATACTAACCGGAACCGGCTAGCACGCGGTGGACTACATCTTGAGATACCGCAGGTTTCAATGAAAGGCCAACAGAACTGTATTCCACTCCCGCGGAATCAGGATTGACATGCCACAAGGAACATGCAATTGCTTTCCAACATCTACGTCATTGTAGCTCTAAAGTCGCTTTATTTCCTCTGCTTGCTATTCGTTTGTCGTTCGAGAATGTGAAGGGCCCTCCTAACAGATGCTGCTGCTATGCGGGCTGAGTGAAGGTCTCAGCCTACTATTCCCCTACGGTAAGTGGCAGCATCTTTCGTTAGGTGAAATGTTCACGACAAGACGAAACTATATCATATCGGGATGGGATTTCCGGCCGGGAAGATTTAATGACCCAACCACGCGTAGTGCACCCGAACTTTGAAGCCTGATCTTTATTGACCGTCACTGAAATCAGAATCTGCTTGCGCCCGATTACAGGTCGGCAAGAAAATATTCCGCTTTCACTCTATTTCGTACTACTTTATCAATCCTGTGGTTTGTTCATGTTCTCCAGCAAACGACAATATCATCCATATTGAGTAGAAGAGCTTTGGTTCAGATGGATCAACGCCGTCTACTGTCCATGAAGCCCTGAATTCACTTCCGAACAGCTTCCCATCGAACGCCTTCCATCGGGATATTCAACTCAGACCTGATGTGCCGTATAGGAGTATTATTACGGATGAAGATGCGAGTCGACACCATTTGCTGCGTACCTTCGACCTCTCATCTCTTTATATCGTAGCCTAAACGGAGTTGATAGAGGCCATCATCACTCGTCAGAATCCCTGGACCCAAATTGGACGTATTCTCTGTCGTCTACATACTACAAAAGGCGATTTTTTCGGATCTAGAGTTTCCTTTCTCCCGGGAATTGAATCGTAAACAAAAATAAGAAATTCTCGCTGCAATTCCCTTCTGGTACAGAGCTGTCAAATAAAAGATACTGTCAGATTGCCCAGGCCTGGACGGTAGCAAATGAGGTGCCGAGGTTGGATCTGAACCACGGACCTTTTGGTCAATGGGTTTTGGCCTTCACCGCTGAGGCAGTTCGAGTTCAGTGTGGCCTAAACGGATCCCGTTTCACGTTGTTTTTTGAGAAGGGAATCGCTAGGCCTATCCACAGGTTGAAGGCTGAGTTCTTTCAGCGGTTAAGTCTGACTAGGACTTATCAGGAAGCAAAATACCGTACAAAACTAGTTGCCAAAGAAAGCCAGACTTAAGTTCGTGGGATAGTACGCCTCGTTAGTAGTGGGACTCCTGAGAAAGGGGTGATATACGAGGGACGAGACGGCCGAAGTGGTTAGAGCCCGAAATTACTGATCGGAAGGTTCGTGGTTCGAATCCGACCTCTGCCTCTCGACTTCCCCTGTCTAGGCTTGGGCAACCTGGCAGTATCCCAGCCCTCGTGCAACCTTCGGCTGGCATGGCAGTTAGGCACCGGAAGGGTGCTACAGCTGAACGATGTACGAGGCTGTGGAACTTGGAATACCGCCGGAAGAGGAGGCGGATTTTCATCATAGTCTCAAGTGTTGGGGGCTTCGTTAGTGGTTTGAAACATTGGCTGTGGCTAGAAACAATGGATACCTCTAATAGCCTTGGCCCTTAAAATGAGATTTCCTGCGGACGCTTTTCTACCAACAGTTTGAGAACTGTATTGAGTGTGCTTCAACAGGCTATTTATGAAACTCCCGCACTATTCAGGAATTCCTTTCCTAAACGGGCATCAAACGACACTATTATAAATCGGTTGTATGACTGCAACCCGCCGGATTACATTCCACGTACCATCTGTTGCAAACGGTAGTGGTCATGTCGGTTGTGTTCGCACGTATAACAGTACACATCCATTCATTTTACTCAAACATGGACCCGAAAGGTTGGCGATCATGGGCTCCATCTCCGCTTTTTGCAGCAAGTAAATATCACGAATCTGGTTATATGCCCATCCCACGGGGCATCGCGATTAACCTCGCGTGAGTGCGCCCAACTTGCGTTGCTCGAGCTAAGTTTGAGCGATTGAGTGGCTGGTGAAAATCTGGGTGAAGAAATCATCTCCAATTCTTTACTTTCCCATTGCCTTAGTTTGTACAGTACCAGCCTCCTGATCCAATGAGTATGAGCGGACAACACGAAGAGGCAGATTTTCACAGAAGACATTCATATTGCTTTCAGTCGCGTCATCCTGTAGATTTGCAGCACAAATCCTGGAGTATATATGAGGTTTTTTTAAACAATGCGTTACCCCAGGATTTCGGAAAACGTCCTGCCCGAACATATGGAGCATATAAAACAGGGTTCATAGTTGGTCTGGTCTGTTGTTGAGTCTCAAGAGGCCATGTCATGATTTCTACCCGGATTCCTATTGTCTTTGTACCCTTAATATACCGACTCTCAGGTGATGTATTCACAGCATGCTTCAAGCGGACGATTCCACTTCTTTTTAACTGCCGTCAGGAAAATTTAGACTCTTTCACCAGCGGCCACTTCGCTGCATGTTTACCCATTCAATCTTAAACCTTTTAGGAGGCGCTCGCGGCATGCAAGATCTTTCAATCGTACTGATATCCGAAGGTGCACAAATGTTTATCCTTCCCCTTAGTCTTCATATCTTCCAGATGGACTTTTGGGTGATCTCTCTAAGTGCGTTGTCCTGAAGTTGCCACATCCGAGGTCGAGTCAACTAGTTCTGTTTTTGTGGAATCGAAAGTTGCAGTTACTATACGAGCTCCAGTACGTGGCAGAGAATTATCGTTCCTGGTTTCTGGGTTCTACAATAAAGTCAGGTATGCGTTAAATATTTTTTTCGATTTGGCACAATAGAAGGTGGTCTTTACTTATGCACTCCTTTCGATCCAATATTTCTTCTGTTGTCCGCCTTCAAAGACACTGTAAGTGCCCTACAACTGAGTCATTGATCACTTTTTCTTCCTGTAGACTAAGTATACCGCACTCAATGCACTGTTGGTGGAAAATGGCGATTTGTCCACTGTTCTAACAGAGCTCCCGAATTTCGAATCACGTTTGTTGTGCATTTGCGATACAACAGGTATGTTACAGTTGTTTCCCCGTTTCAGTGACTGCTTGTGATGATCTTCACAACTCAACTGGTCAGAAAAACTACTAGACTGTAAAAAATGTTGCAGCCATATTTAACCAAACAGATGGTGATCCACAGTGTAGTTTAGAAATATGGAAATTCACTTAATTACGTAATCATACGGAGCCAGTTATGACCCGCGGTCCAGTAGCCACTTCGCTTCCCCCAAACTGACAACTATTTTCGTATAGACCGATAATGTGTTTACGTAATCAGTAGAACAAGTGAACCTGATCCAAACTACGATCACGATAGGTTGCTAGTGGTCGAGTTCAGACTGCAGGACTGGACAACCAAAAAATCCTATTGACAAGCTCTTGGCAATGTTTTCTAAGCGCATCACACTTGTACAGTTTGGGGACCAAAACCGAAGTATCTTGACTGTTGAGAGTAGTAACATTGATCTCGAAGAGACGCGTCAAGCTTACTCTTTCCCGGAGTGCGCTAGTTCCCTGTTGCTTCTTTCATTTTTTGCGAGATAAACCGTCTGAATTNGTTCTTTTCATTTTTGCGAGATAAACCGTCTGAATTTTGTGATTTCTGTGATAATATCATGAGTAAACTCACTTTCCATGTCTCTTGAGAGTTTGGGGACACTCTGGCCGGGGTCAGTCGTACTCGCGATGTAATCACTATCATTCCTGTCACTACATCATTTGAGATAATCCTAACATCACGGTTTTCCAGACTATTCACATTAGGTTTTTTGCCGACTCGGGAAGCAGACCGATGACATTAGAAGAAACGGAATGTCCGGTGTTGCACCTGTGAACCCAACTTCCTGCTATGTCGTGCGTTATCTTGATCTAATAAGTCGACGTTCTGAGTTCTCCAATAGTGCGAACGCAACCCTTAGACCTGTTTGCCCTGCCGGGAGCATTAGTTTACAGGTGACTAATCGGCGTAAGGTTGGTCACTTATTCGTCTTATTCGCAACAACATCGCTAGGCTTAAAACTCGAACTGGTCATCGTAACAAGGATTACACATCTGTTTTCGAAGTTCGAATTCATAACAAAGCCGTATTGACTGATGTATGTAGTGTTCTGATAAGTTATCGGCCCGGACAACCCTATTGCTCTATTATCGTCTCATTTGAGTGGTCCTTTGTTCTTTTTGAGCCATTGGCTTTGGATTTTACCTGCCGTTTTCTGTAGAGATGTAGCCGGATCACGAAAACCTCACTCGCATCAGATTTTTTATCTTTAGTGGGACGCGATGGCCAAGAATACGCACCGTTAGTAGCGCCTGTGGGGAAAAACTTGAGTGCTTTACCCCCTCTTATTGGAAGCAACTGCGATAATCGCACTGTTTCTGAAGGCAAAAAATTTCTTGCTTTTGTTTGGGCACCGGGGATTATCAAGTACGCTAAGCGGTAGAAAACACTCGAACGACGGTTTTCTGATGTGGCTTGACAGTCGTCAAACTTTCTAGTTGCAGTTTTGCATGGCTGACCTGTCGTGATTGGGGAAGAGATTGTGTAGCCGCTTATGACCGAAAAAATAGACAATTTGGCAGAGGCGGGGTGATTGCTGAAGAGCGAGTTAAGCTTCTTTGAAGCTATTTCTAAACTCCTTATCACGGTATAAGTGGAGGGGGAGTTACTGGTTTTCGGTTTTCGTACCACTGGGTCGCAAGTTCGATATACTCTAGCACAATTTAAAGGCATTTATGTTGCGTACAAATAAAGATGTCCCATAAGATAAACTACCACCTTTTCCACCGCGAAGAAGGGGTGCTTGGCCGCTCCAGGTATGCGGCGTCTCTTCGACTGGGTTGCTCCCTAGGTTTTGAATGATGAGGAGTGCTGCTATGGGTATGTAAAGGAGTTGTCTATGTTCGGATAGGTCTCTCTTGGAAGAGCTAAACTGATAAGCGACATCATTACCGATTGTCACTGTCGAATTTACAATACTTTTTGTTTTCCTGGATACCTACCGTAAAGATCGCGTCGTGCTTAGGGACTATTTCCCATGAGCTTACGAGCCAAATGTCGTAAACTTCAGGAACACCTTTGGTGCCCGTCACGTCGATTCTTTCTCCGACTGCGGTTATCTTGACGTTTGTTATATCCCAGCAACCGAAATAACTGAGGAATTCAGAACGGGTACATGTAGTACATTGTTGTGGAGAATTGATTTCTGTGAATGTCCAACATGCGTTTGATATAAGCTTATTGGCCTCTTTGTTTTTTCGTGCCCAGCGAAGCATTTGACGGCTGCTCATAGTACACACAAGATACTCAAGCCCGTGAGATGAACCCGCATTCTGACATGTCTGTGAGTTGAGAACCCACTGTGAACAACTTATATGGTTCAGTTCATCGTGGATACTAACATCATAGGACGCAATTTACTTCGCCTTATTTTCTCGAAGGGACCAATGAATGTATCCACTACGCCACTTCTTGTTGATTAAAAGGAAGAATCCTGCAATGGGAAACCCACCTCGTTTTTCAGGCTCCACCGTTTCCACAGTATAAGGTCTTCTACTGCGAATGACCAACAATAACCAGTCATTCTGAAACAGGCAATGACATGCACTGACATCACTGACGTTACCTAAGACTGCCAAGTTTACGGAGACTATCCAATAGTATGCAGTGAACGCTAATGTGGCTATCTTGCACAGTACGGTATTCCTTCTTAGAAGAAACCCCAGATGAAGAGGCCCCTTTTTCGACGAACAACTTCGGTGTTACTGATTTTTCTCTTGTAACCCTTCATTGTGAAAATTAACTCCCCCAGACCCGACGGATCATACTTATTGGTTTCCAAACTTACTCTCTAACAGTACCATGACTAGGCTGAAGACCGCAGTACATTGAATCAAATGTACTAGTTAACTGCCACAATTGATTTCGCTTCCACTACCAACGCCACGCTCCCTCAAAATACCAGATCCTTGTCTGGACTTATCCTGGTTTAGTCGGTAACTTCCCCTGAGCAATGCGCATAGTTAGATTTATTTGAGCAACTCACAACAGGATATTGAGGATGATGCACAGGAGGGAACAGCGGGCCTTAACCTGTATTCATGAAGTGCCAAACTTCGTTGCCATGTCAGATCGTCTCCCTAGGGTTAATGATATTGATTAGTTGTTTTTATTTGAGCTACTTTCCTGCGAAATAACTCAGCGATCGAGGCCTGAGGATACTGACCGGAATTCTGGGGTTCGGACCCAACACTTGCTTTTCGCTTCGGATGGTCTTGACAGTTTCTCAGTCCTCGTGCTTTCTTTGGGCCTGTTGGCACTCCTCACCAAAAAGATGCTGCAATTGAGCTACTACTCATTACACTGATTATGTTGCATTATTATATTTTTGTCACTATGGAAGGCGAGGTAATGTACTCCGTACCATAAAAGGTCTGCTAAAACACTGGAATACAGCTGAAATTTCGTCATTCTGGTGGAAGGTGTACCAGGCGTGAAATGATGTTAAAAGCAGTAGGGATGTTGCTAAGTAAATTCTATTGCCATCAAATAAAACGATCTTTGGTATCGCATATTGGTGAACTTCTAGGTTAGGCATCATCGGTGGGCGATAGTCACCCGATCAGAGTAATGACTATCGATGAATCATCAGCTGAAATCGAGGTTTATTAAGCGGACCAGCGAGATCTGTATTTACGCAAGGTTAAATACTCTAGATGTATCAGTGATTAGGGCGCAAACTCACTGACCGGAGGTCCGTGGTTCGAAGCCGACCTCTGCATCTTGATTATTCCTGCCCAGTCTTGGGAATATCGAATTAACTCGGCCCTCGTGCTTCCTTCGGATGGCATGGCGGCCAGACACAGAGGGCGCTACAGCTGAATGTTAAGCATTATTACTAACTGCTGGCTAAGTATTATCTGGGTGTCTGGTTGTTATGTTGATAAGAATGCGATGGATCCTACTGTGGATCACAGCTTCGGGAATATCGAACTCGGCCCTCGTGCTTCCTTCGGATGGCATGGCGGCCAGACACAGAGGGCGCTACAGCTGAATGTTAAGCATTATTACTAACTGCTGGCTAAGTATTATCTGGGTATCTGGTTGTTATGTTGATAAGAATGCGATGGATCCTACTGTGGATCACAGCTTCCACAGTGATTCGGCAAGACACTCCGAAGAAAAAACTTGGAGTTGAAGGAAAGTCAGTTCGAAAGGCGAAAAGAAGATTTCTGCCTTTTTTTCCGAGTCAGCTTCCGAGGGGCTGGAGTTTACAGGTAGCCATTCGATTGGATATCAATGCGTGATGAATACATCAGTCACCACAGTGCGCGTCATCACCAAAATATGCGAAGTTGTGACAAGTCTTTCGGGTGAATCGCGCTTCTTGAAAAGAAGCAGATGATCTATTCACTAATCAGGATTTCGAACATCTTTATTGTTACTTGGAGTTCAGAAAGCCAGCTAAACTCCGTCGCTTTTTGAAACGGTGATGCTATGGTGAATGAATGGCTTACTCCACCTAAATGTGGTTATTGCTTTGTAATCTCAAGACCATGGGTTAGTTCACTTGCGGTCTGAATCTATACCCAATCAAATTGTACGTCTTTTACACACTGAATGAATTGGATCCCCCCTGAGCGAAATTTGGAATCCAAGTTACACGAAGTTTGCCCACTAGCATGCAAGAGAGATGCGCTGTATGGTCGTTTTGATAGCCTGTCGAGAGTGTTTTTAACCTACGCACTATCCTCGTTGACTTCGTTTGTCTAAGTTGAGCACTAGCATTTTTGCCGCACAGTAATGAGTTTGATAGTGGACATTCAAAACGTCATTGTCCTAGCTGTTAGGGTGTCCATGAGGCCCAAAGTAAACAGGGTATTTAGAATGGCATCTTTTCAAACACGCGTCTCATATTTATTTATTTACCCAGATGCATGCATCAAATTGTCGGTCAATTTTAAAACGGCAGGTCGTTCCTTTTATGTATGTCGTTCAGCTGTAACACCCTTCCGGTGCCTAGCTGCTATGCCACCCGGAGGAAGGGGCTGGAATCTGCCAGGTTGCCCAAGCCTAAGACAGGGGATTTGAACGACAGAGGTTGGGTTCTAAACACGGACCTTCCTGTCAGTAAATTCGCGCTCTAACCACTGAGCCATCTCGCCCCCGGTTAGCAAGATTAGCCAAGTAGGTTTGCACTCCGGGATTCTGTGGCGACAATAGGAGTTGGTTACGAAAAGTGAAGTCTGTTGGTGGATTGACCTAAGTAGCTAAGAACATTAGGGAAAAAGCTTCTTGCACTATGGGCTAGGCTTACCACACCCGCAATGAGATATGTATTAAACCGGTGTTTGTTAATATGAAGCAGCAGCAAACCAAAAAATCAGGGCAGGCGCCCAAAGTATAGTGTTGTTTTTAGCAAAGCAACTACTACTGAACAAACTTTGACTTGTTATTAGGACACAAACACCGAGAGTTTAGAGACGCAGCATTTTGTATTCTGTATAAGAGCGGGCCTACCCCACGCACAAACCCACACGGAAAATGCCTCCGAACTGCCTGCTATTTGTACTCAAGAGACAATCCAACGGCATTCACTATTTTCCGAAATCAGCTGCTAACTACCGCACGAACAACGATTCATGTTATCAGCATTGCTGTCAACTCAGTCTGAAAAACCGACGAACCCCATCACGGGTTTGACTAAACAAAGCTATGCTGTCATCTATCCGTATACAGCTGTAGTGCAGACTGAAGACAGTGAAACTAGGAAAGAGGGCGATACCATTTGATGCCACGAGTTTCCATCGCATAAGAGTAGCTCTCCACCATGAGGTTACGAAGCATTTTTCAGAAAAGATTCTGGGAGGGGGTCAATATGATTTTTTCTGATCAAAAATAACTGTCATGGAAAACCTTCTCTGTGGGTGTCGCAACTAGCAGAGCCAAATAAACTCGATAACCGACAAAGGATACGCCGCCGTGCTCTGTGCTCATCTGCACAAGGTACTTGTGCAAAACCTGGATGTCTTCCTTCGCTGGCAAGAATGTCGACAATTTAATTGCACTTTCAGATTCCGGTGTATAAGTGAACTGACGATTCTGTTCGTCAAAGGCACCTGCTCTTCCTTGTTGAGACAAAGTCAAATTGCTCCATTTTTGTTCACCACTTTCGTCACAAATACTCGTGCCAAATCGCCTTTCGCTGGTTTTTTTTCCAATATCCCCGTCATTGGTCTGCCACCATCATCAACGTCGCTCCATCAAATCTTCTGTTTAGTGGGTAAATCCCCGCATTTTCAGGTTCCCCCCTTTTGCCTTGTGTTAACAAACCGTGACCTTCATTCACGCAAACGCGCTAAATTTCATTCGCCTCACTTTTTTTTACCGTTTGTCAGTTGTTGGTAGTCAAACCCTTTACCGGTACAGCAAAGAACGTGTCCTGGAATGGCTATCGTGTAAAGTGAACACGTTGGCAGACAGTCTATCGCGCCTGGACGATGCATCGGCTATCCAACAAATCAAATTGACTACGAATGTTACCAGTTCCACGGGCAGTGTGGACGCGAAAGCACCCGACTTTGCTCTAGGTAAGCTAACTAAGGTCTGCAGTTCTCTGCACTCCTTTCCAGCGTTCATGAACGTACGGGTTAGGCAGTATTATCGGAGGGCAGTTTCGATGGATTGACTGTTAGATTGTCTGGCGTTTGTGGTACAGTCGCCGTTTTCTCTGCTGCGTGCTAAACTGCGGGTGCAGGTTGTGTGTGTGTGTGTGTGTGTGTGTGTATGTGGTCGAAGGTCTGATTGGTTTCCTATCTACTAATCTCAAAGAACACTCCACAGACCAAATTCTGTTGTCTACGTGCACTTATGGAAGGCTTCAAGTTGAACAGAGACCCCAGTTTTTTCCAGAGTGCTATTCTGCTTTCCGAATGAGATGTTCTCCGACAAATTGGAAACAAAACCTGGATGTCCATTATTAGTCTGATCTGTGGTGTACTTTTAGCTTATGGACTGAAATTCTTGGTTAGGCAACGGCTGAATGGACAGTCTCCATGGGGATGCGCTGTTTAAATTACTGCCATACTGTCAACGGGCACAAGGTTTGTAAAACGGTGCAGAGAAATCCGGTGTCCATGTAGCTATGGGATGGGGTGCCTAGTGTTATCTTCAGGACATAAGGACGATCATCACTTCTTACAGAAATCTGACAGAAATCTACCATCCTTTGGTGTGCTTCTTTTACCCTCAGAACACAATATATACCCATTACAATATATCGGGAGTTGCCTCACGTATCGCGGTCCCTTTTCACAGCGGATCCCTCTTCGTAGCGAACGACATGCGCCCCGCTGGCTGACTCTCAAATTTTAATCCCGAGCATGATCTGACGTTGGAGTAAACAGGTCCCAGACAGCAGAATAACAGTTTGGAGACCCTCTTACTTCGTTAATAGAGGCATATCAACACACACAGACAGCTCGGCATATTTAGGTTTGCTATGAACTGATTTAGAACCAGTTTTTCCCACTGTATTATTTATATAGTGCGCGTCCATTGGTAAGTTTTTCGCCTAATGAATACATGAACTTGGGCTATCTGAGCTGCTAGGGCGCGCTCTCTCATCGCTCTTGTTCAGGATTTGGCGGTCTGATAGTACTTCAACCTTTGAGTTGAATGGCAGCCGTGATATGATGGCCTTTACAGCGTCACAGCCGCACAATTGCTGTCGTTTATACTGCTTGCCTTACCGGATAGCTATGTAAATCCCGTAAAACTTTCGGAAAGAGGCTAAAATGACAAAAAGGATGCCCGAAGGGAGCTTAGAAGAACAGCTATACGTTGACGATTCGATACCTTCAAGATGCTTCCAGACGTGCGAAATTTCTTGGACAAGGGACGTACCACAGGAAACCAAATAAAAAAGGATGAGTTCATTTGGGTGCCTTTTCAAAGGGCTGTATTTTGCCTTATGTATCTATCCTGTCTGTTGGAAGTTGAGCAGTTGATTGGACTCGGATTGGATTCTTCTCGATTCCCCTATCGTGTTCGCCATTCAGTGGGATTTTCCCATTTTATAATGGAATTAGGCCAGATGAAATTGGAGTCAAGACCGGAACCGAAAAGCTGCCGATAACACAAATTTGTCACATTCTTAAGGCATTGGAATCTGTTATTGCCGATATAACCGACGATTGGAAGAAATGTCCAATTAAGACAAATTGGCAACATCTCAAGGCATTGGAATCTGTTATTGCCGATATAACCGACGATTGGAAGAAATGTCCAATTTAATCTGCCAACTCCATTGATGTTCCTAAGTATTTATCAGAACATAGGGTGCCATTTCGGTGATTGTTGATGCCCCACCGGATTGCACTACATTATTGTCCGCTTCCCACCTGGCTACTACTGTCCATGATCCGTAATAAAGTGATGTAATTGTATTTTCTCGCTAATCTTTTTCGTTGAGATACCGGTCTACAAAGTTGGACATCTGCTTCATACCAATACGACTTGAGATGCTCGTCACTTGTGGAACAATTCCGATTTCTCTTGACCTGTTTTTTGTACTGTTTTGCCCCCCACGCGGCACAGATTCTACGGAAGCCAAGTTGGTGTCGGACACGAAGCTCTCTCCTAAAGTGTGCCAAAATTTCGCATATCAACTAGTTGCGGACTACCTCGTGCCTGATTTAGCTGCAGACTTGAGCAGTGTGCTTGGACTTAAATCCTCTTGCCTTGCTACGCTGGAAAATGTCGATCCCCAAGCCAGTGAAGTCGAGAGTGTCGGCAATTGTGTATCCGTAAGTTTTCCCTCGTCGTCTCTGTATGGGTAGCGTTTTTTCTTCACAATGTAGCGCACTCTCATCTGTCTCTGATCTTGCTGCCCGCTTATCGATCGTTGTGAGAGCAAGGGTATTCGGTTGGTATCCGTTTGAGCAAATCTGACTTGACCTCAAATCGTCGTCCAGCTGTAGCACCCTTTCGCTGCCTAACTGCCATGCCACCCCATGGTTGCACGAGGGCTGGGATACTGTCAGGTAGCCCAAGCCTAGACAGGGGAAGTCGAGAGGCATAGGTCGGATTCGAACCACGGACCTTCCGGTCAGTAAATTCGGGCTCTAACCACTTCGGCCACCTCGTGACTTTTCCATGTTAAATTCGGCTCTAACCACTTCGGCCACCTCGTGACTTTTCCATGTCATCTGTTACTTTGTCTCGGCCATCAGGTTATTCTCTCGCGAGATATCGATGGGTGGTTTACTTTTGTAGTCGACAGGCGATGATAAAGTGGTCAGTCCAATTATCGAGATTCATCTGAATTGCCAGAACACCGTGCATCAGTCTCCCTTACAGCACGTACTGATGCGCTAAGTGGAACGCCGTCACTTTTGTGTGGTAAAAAGTTTTACTTAGTTGTACCCATCGATGATAATTAATTGCAAAAAAGAGTCCCGTGATTTTCCAGTTGGGCGCTTGCTTTTGCTGCCCCATGATACACATGCCAATTTATTGCCTGCCCAGAGGAACGTTGTTTTCCGTGTCCAATTCGGAGTGGCAGAAATCTAGAAGTGAACAGAATTCCGCATGGCCAAAGGGAATGAATGGTGCTACGAAAGATTTATGTGCGTTGGTTCTGTCTGCCATCCAGGATAGGGTCCGTTTGAACCTCCCCATGCTTGGTACCGAGCGATATGATGGCTGTTCGGTATTAGTGGCGTTTGTGCTGTCAGTTTCTCTCCAGACTGTCTGACTAAGTGCTGGAGGGGTGGGCACCTCGCATATTTGTGGTAGGTTGACCCTAATTCCCCTTCCTGCTCCATCTCCTTATTTCCATAATGAGGCTTTATTCAAATTAATGTACGTACTTGTGAGTACCAGTATTCTCATCTGGTGTTGCTGTCGATGATGTTGAGTATGATTGCCTTTGATACTAGAGGGTTGAGCATTCAACAACAGGACTGACTGCAGCGAAATGATCGTTGTAGAGAAGTTCGCCTTCACTCCATTCAGCAAACCCCCATTGTTACTGCTCACTCCTGACTAACACGGGTTCATGGTTCGCGGGTACTCCTTCCACATGATTCCTAATACGGAATCCACTTTCTCTGATCTTCAAGGAGTTTGCTTTGTGTAGATTAGTTACTGACTCCCACCCAGAAAGAGAGCACATAACTTCTGATCCAGGAGGGTCTCCAGAAATCGCGGCAGGTTACCACCACTCCTCTGCTCTGGGATAGCTGTTCAACATCGCACCAGCTACCGAGAAAATTGCACCCTGCATGCTTGTGATCGTTGATTCTTTTCTTTTATTCTTGTTGTGTACAACGTCGTTCCCCGTTTTGGTTGTTATCGTTTAGTGCCTATAGTGCCTTTCTTGTTTTGACCTAACGTTAACCGCTCTTGGACCTTGTTGTCATAGGTCTTGTCTAAACCAAAAGGTGGATTTTGTTATTTTGTGACCACCTTGCCTTGAGTCGATGTGATCTTTGGGATCCCGTGTAGAATTAGCGGTTCCTAAACCGGTGTGTAGAAACCGGCGTAATCCCACGATTTGAGATTTGTGCCATCCTATCATTTTTCGTTGCATTCATTTGTTTATAAACCTTCGTTTGAACGATTTGACTTTTGGGAGTTCGCGCGTGGCCGAACTGATTGCTGAAAACAATATATAGTGATGGATGTGCACACAGACACATTTTACGGCGTGAGTGACCAAGCAGTGCCGTACTAGATGGCCGTCAACCTTGCCTGAGTAGATCTTGCACATTTGTCCGAAAACCGCCGAAAAAACAAGCTTTTATATGTTCACCGATTGGCCAGATTTGAATATTCTCTGTGCGCTTAACCACAGAGGTTTGCAGACAGAAAAAACTGTTGTTATAGATCTATCGTTGGATTCGGTATATGTGAAGTCTTCATCATCTGGATTCGAACTGGCACATTCAAATACGTGGTAGGTAGCACGGAGGATGTCGACAAGACTTTTTATCCTGGAATCGGACTCATCCGCTCGGTTTTCTCAAAGTTTTGGGGTCTTCCACTAACTTATACCGTTTGCCCTGGTGACCGAGGAAAACTTTGCAGTGTAATTACTTTCGAATTCAAACGTTGAAAAAATGGGTGTCCATCTGTTATCACATCACTGTTCATCAGTCATTGGTACTACAATGCCCACCATATCCTACGAGAATCGCGGACAGATGGGCTTAATTCGCTTGTGAACTGTGCTGTTTAAGACTCACCATCTGTGTGATGTGTTCTTTGTTCCATCCCAGTTCAAGCTTTTTAACTACTCCTCTCTAGTCTCTGATATTCTAGGAGTATCTCTGCCTTCTGACTCTTTTTGGGTTGGAGGACAGGTAGGTACTGAGAGGGTGGTAGGGGGATGTTTTCTTATCTGGGTGCTACATGTGTCTTCCAGATCACCTGCACGTCCGCAAACAACGCCTAATTTTAGCCGTAACTGTTCCTGCAAATCTCACCCACTCCTTCTGAAGGAGGTGAGTGCCTACTTCTCATACAGCTCGCAAAAGAGACGTGGCGTTGTGTGGGCAAAACCTTCAGATGGTCTCTACGTTTGACTATAGGTGCTTCTGGAGGGTTGTGCAAGTCTGTTGGGAACACCAGGTCAGTAACCCTAAAGTACTCCAGGTGGTTTTTGTGAAAGTTCACCCCTGTCTATAGGTCAACTGTTCTCACCCCACAGGGTAAGCTGGTTAAGCCATGTACTTCGTGGACCAGAGGACTGTTTACCTCGCAGAGCCCACTTCCAACCTTGTGTCGGATGAAGATGACCGTGATCCTGCAACGAGTCATGAAAGCTCTTACCAGTCGACTCAGTCGCGTGCTATCTCCCCTAGTTGAAGCTACAGGACAAGATAGACTGGTGGTTAGTGACCCTGACAGTTACGGCTGTGTTATGCAGCTACTGGCTGTCTTGCATCAAAGCTATCGCCCTCACTGCGTAGCTTTCAATCTCCGCCATACCTGACCATTCCACATCATTGAACTGATTTAGCCATTAATTTGAGCGCGTGGCTCTCATTCCCTCGTCCTCCTGGTCCTCGGTAAACGAAGGTGTAGCAGGCGGGTTCACTGCATTTCGATGCACGGTTTTTAAACTGAACTCAACATACAGAGTTCGCTTCGCAACCAGCGGGAGCCAATATGCAACCATACGAATCCTTCGCAGCCTTACTTAGCGCCGCATTTTTCCTGTTTTTCCTCTCGCTTATCTGAGGGTGTCTTCGTTTTATACCATGTGTTCCTATTGGTAATCTATTTTAGACTGTAGCGCGACCTACTGAAGATTACTCAACTTCAATGAAGAAACCGGCTGCGGTTAGTAAAGCTATCGAAGTGAGTGCCTTATTGCAGCATTTTTGTATGTTCTCCAGACTCCTTTTAAGTAAACTCAATTGTTTGTACATGAAAAAAAGAAAAAGAAAGAAAGCGTTCAGCTGTAGCACCCTTCCGGTGCCTAGCTGCCATGCCACCCGAAGGAAGCACGAGGGCTGGGATACTGCCAGGTTGCCCAAGCCTAGACAGGGGAAGTCGAGTGGCGGAGGTCGGATTCGAACCACGGACCGCGAACCATCGAACCATCGCCACCGCGTACTTGTCGTACGGTTTCGTTCACCGATGGTTTGGGGAGGTGGGGTAGGTAGCTGCAAGGTGGGAGCTGATAAATTAGTGCTTAAATACAGCGCTGTAGGTGAACTTTTAGGTGGGTGAATTGGGAAGGGAGCTATGAATTTAAGGCAATAACTTGGATTCATGAGCGCCATTGAGGGCGCGACTGGGCCATGTCTGAGAATATCTCTAACCATTGAAATGGCTCGTCTCGCGATCCTCATCCAGGAAGACGGCAGTGACCAACGCAGCTGAGTTTGCTGGTAATGGCCTTTATGCTTCGCTGTCAAGTCATTGACCGCCTCTGACTCTTTTCCACCCTTCACGTGGTTGTGCGAAAAGAGCCCTTCGAGGAAGTCGGTCGACTGGCATATGCAGCACATGGCCAAGCCAGCACAACCTACACAGTGTGATCACTTCATCTATCGAGGGTGAGATTTCTCCCGAATACCATTCGACGTACTTCAGCATTGCTGATCCGGTGTTCCCATCAGATCCGGGCAATGCTCTGGAGACATCGATGGTCAAACACTGAAAGTATTTTGACATCATCGGAGCGCAGCGGCCAGGTTTCTGATCCATATATTAATGTGGAGCGCACCGCAGCATTGTAAACTCGACCCTTGACGGATAAGCTGGTGTCACGCCTACACCACTGGTGACGCAGATTCACAAAAGCTGCTCTGACCTTCCCAATCCGGATGGAAATATTATCTTTCGCAAGACCACCAGGACCGATACAGCTGACCGGGTAAACCAATTTACCTACTACCTCAATCGGCTCATCCGCAAGCATGAGGCTAGGGTTCGAGCCCACCCAGTGTTGCAGTATCAGTTTACATTTTGCAGTTGTGAAGCGCATGCCGAACCGTGATGATAATGTTTGTACATGAGTCTGACACTCATCATCTTTGTGCCCCATTGCCCAAAGGCTTTTGGTCCAAACTGGCCAGTGCACTAACAGTGCTTAGGTCATGTACTCCACTCATCCAAATAACTTTGTGTTAGCCTTGCTTGAGCCGTAATGTTCAACATTTTCGTCAATATTCGCTCACATTCACACCAACTCTCATCATCTCCATAGGAATGTGAGGTTCACCAGCACATGGACGATGTCCAAATTTGCAAGGGTTGTATAGGTTGAAAATTTAAACGATGCACTACCTATTCTATCAGGAGATCACAGTAAGTGAAAGGGATTCCATCAGGAAAACAATTTTGGCAACGCAGAATCCAACCCTCCCCCCTACCAGCACCGCGACGTGTCTAGTGCGCACTACCTGCATCCACTAATAGAGTTTTGAACCTCACGAGAAGCCGTTGATAGTGAGATTAATATTGTACCGTGCAAAGCCAACCATGCTGGATCATCGAGTTACGTTTTATCGCCCAGACATTGGTTGAACGTCCTGCTTTAAGGGCGCTGTTGTCGTGGAACCTGTCAACTAGGTCGCGCTAGAAGCCTCAATATATCTTCCCGAAAATGCTTCACATTTGACCATTTAGTCCAGTGCCCCAGAACAGGAGAAGCTTCGTTGCAAGGAATAGTTTCACTTTTGTTATTTCTCCGGGGGGGGGGGGCACCGTTATCCTGCATGGTTCTCACCTCTTTGTTTCTGAAACAGCTCGCATACAGATTATTGGAAGTCGCCCACCGAATCTATAGTGTACAATCTTGTCTACCCGGCCAGCTGTAATCGGCCACTGAACGTCTGTGGTGAGAGAATCATGGATTATAACCGTTGTTTGATTCCAGCGGTGCTTTACGTCTCATTTTCTAGAATCGCGCAGCCCTCTGGCTAGTGTCATTGATCCCATTCTCCAATTCAACACAGTCTGGAATCAAATGGTTTACTCATTAGTTCGGTCATCTTGTTAGCAAAGGTTCCAAGCCACAACGTTGCGTAGGCTGAGTTGTATTGGGCCGCACTAGTGTTGTCGTTCAGAGCGGTTTTGACTATTCAATACCGCTTGAGGTGTCCAATTTGTGCGCTCGAATTAAGCGAAAGATCTAGTGATTATTGATCGTAATTGGGCTCATTGCTTATAAGGCTCGTCGATTCCGTACGTATGCTATCGTTTTCAATGCTGCTTGTCGCATCGCCTGTTTCCATTTTGTTTTCAGCCATTAGCTACAAAGAAGCTGAAGCTGGCGAGCAAAGGCACAAAACCAATCATGAGCTTCTTCACGAAACAGTCCAATTGATCTCAGACTTCAACAGATTATAGAAACCGTTGATTTTATGCATTTAGCTATTTTAATAATTGATGTTCTCTAAAATTCTGTCGACTTTGCTTCTTTCGATTTTTTCGAATGGGCTTTCAGTTGAAATCCGTTCGGAGTGTATGCAATGGCTTACAACGCACACGCTCCATCCTTTTCCTTTAGGATTCACATGCTTATTTTCTCGGCGAGTAACAGTTTCAGCGACAAGTTAGTGGTGATGTGAGTCCCATCCGAAGAGCTGAGCTTAGCCATTAACTAACGGCCGCTTATCATGAGTTGACTGGTTCGTTTTGAGCGAGTAACACGCCTTATCTAAAGAGTAAGGTAAGGTCATAATCACTGATAGTTCTTTCAACCGTTCATACGGTGGTTTTGTTGTTTCTGTTTATTTGCTGGAGAATGCTAGTACGGAATTCACTCTGCAAGAAACCAAACAGAATTGTAATCTGACAGAACAGCCTACCATGAAATCTCTTTGGCAACCTGTCACCGGTTTCGCCCCATTAATATTTGCATTTGTGTTCGAATTTTTAGAGACCAAATAGCTGCCACCCTAAGGCGATGGCTTGAATTCTGTAGGGAGCCCTCGGGCTGAGCTAGATGGAACTCTTTCCTCAGAATTCAACTGTCTCGAGAAGTTCACAGGTGAAAAGCCAGGCAAGTCGCAGCAAGTACCCGTACTACGGAGGTAAAGCTGTACTGTCCTTTGTGACATGAATGTGAAGACAAATGACCGGCACCTCTGTTTGGAGGAAGCGGTGATGCTGTCTCCCCTGGAGGAAGGATGGGTTGGAAAAGGTCGTCCTGGAAAGCCTTACGCTTCGATCACCGATCCGTTGACCGTGACCACCAGTACTGTATTCAATATGGTCGAACTACTTTTAGGACGAGAAAGTTTGGTACTGCTCAAGCGCACGTGTTGTGTACAGCCAAATTAGGAATCAGGTAGTTACTCCTTATTATCTGTGCCCTCGGGTTAGGCATGCCTCCTACAGCCTAGTGGGTCAGACTATTGAGTCAGTGGTGCAGGGAAGTGTTCCCAAGAAAATCCTAACCTTGCAGGTAAGGAATTTGTTCAGGGTAGCATCGTTTGTTGCCCGTATCCTTTGTCGTATAGGTTAGCAGACCTCCCCCTGGCTGCTACTTTTTCTTCACAACGGTATTAAGTGAGTGCGGAACATGGGAACTGAGTCTATTCAAGGCTTACTCTTCAGGTGTCTGGTGATCCACAGGCGGCTCACTGTGGTCTCATTGGTTTAGGTATTGCATTAAGCGTGAGGGCTGAAAACACTCCGCTTGACTACATTTTTGTGGACTACCGAGTGCCTGCCAGTACCCGAAATCTGTTCGATATCTCTGCATGCGCTGCTACGAAATGCAGTAGTGACGCTGAAAAAAGACTTCATGGAGAAACATCGAGGCTCCCGCGGACCTCACTACGCACGAAACCACTGTTCTGACAGGCGGTTTGAATGCATATTTGGGAAGAATCGGCGTGAATGAGTCATCTCGGCGGAGTGTTTGGCAAGGGTACAATCTCCATAGTAATTAGTTATGAATGAAGATATCTTTTTCAAGGGTGTTGCTCCTGCAGGAACAGGTGAACGGGCCCAGATCATGTCCTGTTTCTTGCTCGTGTTGTAGCTCGTTTTCTTGCCAAAAAGGGACCACTGAACTCTTTGATATCCACTGCAAGATTGGTTCGTCAAAGAAGTTTATAGACTAACTGTCCAAACAAGTCGTGGATGCGAAACAAGTCGGTCGGTCGAATGAATACTGATTCGAAATCTGACACAAAGCTGGGTGTTTGAATACGTGTATGAAAAGAAGGCCGATTCAAGTTTGGCCTCAGAGATCCTTGTCTCTGACTAAGGTGAGGAAAGTGGTCCTACCAGGTTCCAACGAAATGTCTGAAGTGATGCCTGATTCGCGGTCTCGAGACTGATCGGGAGAAGTGGTGGTCAGGAAAGCCCCGGGAAATGGAAACGGAGAGAGTTCTTGGCAAGCGTCGTACTCTTCCACTTTAAACGCAACAAAGGATCAGGAAAACTACCGGTCAGCCATCGTGTCCTGTATTGCTTGAACATCTCAGCATTCCTTTTCAATGTATAGCCCTCATATGACCTTCAAGAGACATGAAGGTTGTGTTGCTTTACTCTATCCAAGCTCCGACGCGTACAATGTAAACTGACGAAAACAGGTCCATGACCCTCTAAGGCTCGAAACCCTCTGGAACTCGTGAAAGCAGCATTGTGGCATGAGGATTACTTGTTGAGAGTGGGGCGATCAACGAAAAGTTAACTAACGATGTTGAACAATTACCCTTCAGCTGTTGACAATAGTACAAGATAAGGATGATCCATGATGGCCAAAATGTGGGTTTATATGATTTCTGTTCGCTTCAAAGATCTTCAAACTATATCCATCACAAGGCACCTCTAGCTTCGGTTGGCAATCGCCATGAACCAGAACTCTAGGGCCGGTTTTATACGACGCCTTGTGTTTGTGTCGACAGGGTAGCCGGGTCTTTATCGCACAACCTGAAAGGCATTTCGGACATTCGCTACCTATCTTTGGGATTAACGGTTTCTTCAGTGCATCATTCCGTGTTCACTCGGAACAGACGAAAGAAAGGACATCCAGTGTGGTTAAATTAGTGTTCCGCGCGTTTTCACAAACAGTACCACACTAGTACTTTTGGCCAGCCTTCGAGTCCAAATTCTGGGTGAGAGTTTGTCAAATCTGAATCTGCTGAATTTCTTTCTAAAAACCTCGTAATGCATCTCGGAAAAATACCGGCTTAGTCCTTTTCAGAGAGCACTCCAAAGGCATCAAGAGGGGTATTTAGGAGGCCAATATTTAAAGCATTGCTTAACCTGAGTTCATTTCATTCAGTTCGTTTTAATAACCATGAAACAGCTGTCGAGATCATCCACGGACTTGAGCAACTGACGGGTAACTCGAATCACTTGGCTTATTATTGGGTGCGCTATTTCACCTTTCTGAGATTAAAGCGACCAGTCCAACTACAGCCAGGTGTTAGCGTCTTAGTTTGGACTGAACTCATACCAGGATAGTCTAATTTTCCCCGTGGTTTCTAGGTATATGGAAGAGCGCGTTAACTTTCGCCTCTGTTAAGTTCGCCAACTGGTATGTGAGCGTTTCCTCACCATTCGAGGAGACCGTTAGTGCGCTGAAGATTTCTGAAACCTCCCGAGCCATTAATATTCCATAACACTACCGAAAGAGTCACAGAAGGCTATTAACCATCGGGCACCACTGGACCTAGCATGCGTCCCACAGTTACTAGGTTTACTCAGTATAGTCCCTGTCTGCTTATTGGACATATCATATGGCCTAGTTCTCTAGCAATGGGCATTTTTCCCAATCTGTCTGATTTTCAAGTCGGTTTACCTAGCCAATTTCTTTTCTTTCATGAGTAAAGCGTATGTAACATGATGACTACGAACACAGGCTGAGAACTGCCTTTCGAAGATAGCCCATAAGACTTTGAGTATCCTTTTTAACTTGCAGTTTGGTTTTTCAAATGAAGCAATTTGTGTTGACAACACAAATTTCGGAGTGGCTCATGCAAAGCAAAACTTAATTTCCAAAGGGTTGTCCTATTGTGCTTCGCCAAGTTCAAAATCTGTTGAATCGTGGGTGGCCGTTTATGGGTTACGCCTGCACTGAACCTGCCAGACTACGCGATAGAGAGAAGACAGAGAACTGGGGACACGGCTGTATTGCCAGGACAAAACATACAGTGCGTCTGGGTAATATATAGGATGACTAAATGGTCAAATATGGTCGTTCACTTGTTCGCTCCGTACAGCCAATGGCGGTGTTCCGGTTGTGAACAATCTCAGACCCACTACGCTGGTCGTATGTTGCTAAGCCATGTTTGGTGGGAGCCGCGAACTCACCTACTTTCCGGACGTGTCAAACCGATGTTGACCTTGGGGTGCGTCACTCTCTGCATGTACTTTTTTCTGTCTGGACGCGTCCTGATAAAATCATCTGTCGAGTCCCATCTGCAACCTACACAAAAAATAAGTGGGATTACACCTAACTACCTGGATCAGCGTCGAGTATTATCAAGCAATGCGTTCTACCAAAAACAGTGAGCTGCATGAAAATGTTGTACACACTGTCGAACGCAGTCGGTTGTTGTATAGTTCCTGTGTCCATCAACCTGGGACCGTTTTCTTAAACGGAACAGGTCACTTGAGACAAAGATTACCGTAACCCTCTCCCTCTAGGAGTGGATTCTCATGTATTTTCATTATTGGGAAAACCGCGAGCAGCAGATTACCTGGGATGGTAAATTTCTTTCGATCTTAACAAACTTGGTGTCGTTTTTAAGCAGACCGAATTGAGTTACTTCCAAGCGTATTCATTGAGGCCAACTTGTGACCGGCGTATGAACATCCTGTGCTAACTTAATCTGTGGCCAAAGCTGATTTTCGTAGACTTCCTTGCCAGCCTCCTCAGAAAAGCTGGTGATGTAAATGTCTATGTGTAATAACGGTATTCTTCTGAGCTAAGTTCTCGGTCTGAGCCTCCCCAGCTAGCGTTCGCGTTAAAGACAACCACCAAAAGTGCACAAGGTATATTAGTACCCGAAACGAAGTCAAGAACAGTTGTACTGCTCTTCGTATATATAGGGTAAGCGGATAAGACCTTCTGACGCGTTCTGAATGCGCCATTGGCAACCGGCATTTGGCCAATACTGGGTCATGATTGGTTGTTGGGTCCAGATTTTTTACCAATCAGAACTCGCCTTGATGTCGGACCGGCAAGCGTCCCGAATTCTTGGCCAATCTCGTGCTGGCCAGACTTATCGGTCGTAGCAGCGCCTAAAGACGTGCGGAATAGCGGGATCCGTGTGGAATTTTGCCTAACACTATGTTTCATCGTTGTAATACCGTTGTAATTCCTTGATTCTGTTCGCCACAAACCATGATTTTTTCCCAGATATTAACCACACGCAACGACAGCGGGAGTACAA